AGAAAACAGAGAATTTTCAAAAACAGAGAATAGAAAACAGAAAACAGTTTTCTGTTAGTAAACGGGCCCTAGAAGTTTGGGTGTTGAGATTGAGAAATTGCTAAGGACATTAAGAATAAGGAAAGTAATGAGTAAGGTTATGAGATATTTGATTCTAGCAATATTAGGACTCTATCTATGTATTTGAGTCTACTTATGATTTCCAATCCTAGTCTTCATAAGTCTCTCAATCCTAGTCTCCATAAGTCTCTTCTTGTATATATACCTAGGTCTTTTACTCTTGTCATTGATTACTGTTAATAGAATTTATTACAGTTCTAATCTGGTATCAGCTAGCTAGGGTTTTTATCTAATGGCCGACGAATTTGTCAATTCCTCTAAATGGACCGTTTCTGATGCCCCTCTCTCATCGGTTACTTCAACCGTAACCACCCTCTCCACGACTCATCACTTCATCAGCGTCAAATTGACTCATCGGAACTTCTTATTTTGGAGGGCTCAAGTTGTTCATTTTCTCAATGCACATGATCTAATGGGTTTCATCGACGGAACCAATCCTTGCCCGCCGGCCACGATCTCGTCCGGCGAAGAGGGAGTGCTACCTCTGCTGAATCCTGCTTATCATCTATGGGTTCATCAGGATCAGGCACTTCTCTCGATGCTCATGTCTACGTTGTCTGATGAAGTTATGCCTTTGGCTATCGACATCATACCAGCCGTGCAGTGTGGACTGCCGTTACCTCCGCACTTGCCTCTTCGTCTCGGTCTCGCTCGTTGAACCTTTTCGAGCAACTTCAGACGTTGCAACAAGGTGATGCTTCTGTCACTGATTATATCGGCCGGGCACAAGTTCTCATTGAGGATCTCACTCTCGCCGGCCGGCACCTTCCGCTTGAAGAACAAAACCTTTACGTATTTCGGGGTTTGCTGTTAAAATTTTATTTTATAAATTCGGTTTTTAAGAAATTCCAAAATAGCCATTTTCACTCTATAAAAATTTTTGCGATGAAATTGGTGTTTGAATAAATTATTTTGAACCACTTTTAAATAAAGTCAACACCAGGACTTATTTTAATTCCAAAATCCTAAATTTTCGGGTACTTCGCGTACCAATTTTTAAACTAAGAAACCAATCTGAGTGAGACCGGGAGGAATCTGAACCAAGTGTTTGTTTAGAAATCATCTTTGAAAAAATGCATTTTGACCCCAAAACTATTTTAAACTATGATTCTAGACTTTGGTCAATGATACTTGGTGAACCACTAGACTCCACCTTCCTTGTTTGATATTTTAAGGAGTCAAGCCAAATGACCACTTTGCCCTCAACCAATCATTGACATTTATCCTAGGATTTTGGACCCTATAAAATATCTCCTTAGCTACATTGTTTTCTCCTGATATCTTCTTTGCCTTCCCCAAATTCTTGTCTGCCAAATAGAAGAAGAACAACACAGTAAGCATTTTCATCCATTCTTTCATCTTCCTTTAAGGTTTCATCTTCCTTTGTTTAAATCTATGAAGTTCTATCTCTAGGTTTGGTTTGTATGGTTGTATGAGGAGTCTAGAAGGTGTCATCTGAGGAAGGAAAGAGAACCACGCAAGGAAGAGGAAGAAGAAGCTGAGGTATAACCCCATGGACTCCCTCTTCATTTTTGGCTCTGTGAAGCCTAGATTTTTGAATAAAAATGAGTAGAAATGTTGGATTTTTGTTGTGTTTGAGCTAGGAAGTGACATATTACTTGTTTATGTTGTGTTGATAATGTTTTGGATGTGTTGGTATTGCTTGGAAGTGTTTTGCAAATGAAATGAATCATCTGGTGCACACACAGTGTGCACCAGATGAATGTAACGGCCCTAGCCGCGGCCCATCAAGGGGGTCGCCGGCTAAAGCCGGGGCCAACCGGGCCTAGGGCACGGCCCTAGGAGAGGGCCGTTGCCTAGGCCCGGCTCTGTGACGGCTTGAGGGGGCGGCTCATGGTGAGCCCCGCCCCCTGGTCCCTGAGTGTTGTCTGAGCAGTGGTCGGGCCCTTATGGCTCAGCTACGTGTCGTTTCGGGCCATGTGTCACGGGCCCTTGTGGTTTGGTACATCGGGACCGTCTCGACGCACGTTTTGGCTTTGATTTCGTTGAATTTGGATTAGAAATGGGCATGTTATGATGGATTTATTGATGAAATTGCTTCACAGTATGTTTGTTTGAGTTCACTGTAATAAGAATTGCTTTGCTTTGTTGCCCTGATGTTGTTTATGTATTGAGTAGAGAAGCATGATCACTTTGAGAATAAGATTTATTAGAAAAACATGACTAGAATGTGTTGTTTGATCAATGAGATTTGGAGTATATTTGATAGTAGAAATATATAGAGTTTGATATGTTGCAAACCGAGCATGATATTGTATTCTTGAGAAATTCTATGATATATATATGGAGTTGAAGCATGTTGTATAGCATTTTTGCATTTCAAGTATAGCATGTTTTAAAAGTGTATAAGTGGCCAACGTGAGCCTAAGTATTACTTTCAAAATTCATGAGCATGTGGTATATCATTATTTTGATGCATTGAGAAGTTGTTGAGATATGACATGCATAAGTTTGGTGCATGAGAGATATATATATTATCTATCTATATATGTGAGGCTTTGGAGGACCCGTTGGGACCATGTCCTTTCGGAGTAAAAGAGAAAGCAACGGATATTGCGATCCGATAGATTTATCACGTAACACGGTGTATTTCCACGTTACGAGGTTGGAGACTGCCCGCCAGGCTTGGAATCCTAGTTAGCGGGTGTGCACACTAAAAGTACGATACCTGATTCCACAGAGAAAGCAAGAAAGAAAGATAAAGAACCAAGAGAGTGGTTCTGTAGGCGAGTTGAGTATGTGGCAGGCTAGATTGCCGAGCCGGTTAGGTCCATTCACGATTCGTGAAGACCTAGCTACCTCCCCACGAGTTAGAGGTTCCATAGCTACGGATGTGGCGGATGCACGAGATTGCACCGTACGCTAGGGCTTCGCTGCGGCGGAGTACCTGCCTCACACAAGAAGAGAAACGAGAAAGTATGAGAAAGTTTGAGCAAGAAAGAAAGCGAGTCATTGTGACTCTAAGAAACCTCCACAGAAAAGTATTCTATTTTACAAACGAGTGTATGAGTATACTTATAGTATTGCACGAGATTGCATAATGAGAATGTTTGCACGAGATTGCATAATGAGAATGTTTGCAAGAGATTGCATAATGAGAATGTTTGCACGAGATTGCATTTGAGTATAGTTTTGCACTAGATTGCATATGAGAATGTTTAACCAAGATTGTATATCGAGCATGATTGCTTTAGTTGCATTTTGACGTCTTACATATCCAGTTCGCATGATGAGAACTTGAAAACATGAAGATAATTTCGTATTGGTTATTAGTATGAATTTGATTGATAACATGAGTTCGTTATGATGAGTTTTGTTATGAGAAATATGTGTTGAAATATTCATGTTGATGAGTTATTTATATTTGAAGTATGCCTGATGATATTATAGGTTGCAAGCATATAGAAAGTCTGTGATGTATCTTAAGTTGTCTAAGTGTTGAGATTGCTTGGTTAGAGTTTGTGAACAAATGTTTTTCCAAAGTATATTCTATAGTACTTTACAGGGTTGAGTGTGGTTATACTTAGCTTCGTGCTAACGGGTGTTTTCCTATTTGTCTATGTGTTGTTTGTAAAACCCCTTTCAGGTGGGTCCAGCGTTGAGAGGTGATCAAGTTAGACTAGTCTAGTATTTCTAGTAGTCTGAACTCATAGTCTTTTATCATGATGTCATTTGTCAAATTTATAGACTTATGTTGTTTTTTATGGTGATTGAATATGTAGACATCGAGGTGTGTTTTTCCCCTTTATGTTTTTAAATTAAGTTTTATGGATGTTAGTTATTTGTTTTATTTCTAGTTCCATCCTTAGCCTGTGCAATCACCACGGAGTGGTGGTTGTGGCGGTGACATTTCCACTAGTTTACTTATTAAGTTGTTTATCCGCTGCTTAGTTTGCGTTAATTGTGGTTTAGAATTGTAATTAAGATTTAGAAAAAGTGGGGTGTTACATTTACGGCTTGAATTTCGGGGTCTTGTATCTTCTCTCAATGTCCGAGGAACACCAGTGACCCTTCATGAACTCTCGGACCTCCTCAGTGCAGAGGACTTCTCTAACTTTTTAAACTTTTTCTAAAACACACAACGCAAATAACACTTTGGTAACTTCAACTCTAAATAACAAGCATCAACAAGTTAAACAACTTAGAGTGTGCAGCGGAATAGATAGCGGTACAGTGTTATGCTTAATTGTGTAGTGCTCAAAGAGAGATTCTAAACATGCAACACGTTAGAAACACTTGATATAGCTCAAAGATGATGTATGTAAAATTTGTCTTGCATGCGAACGTGGGAACTAACAAACCCAGACAGTTAAAGATATGCGATAAATCGTAATCCACTGCTGGAAATCTTCGAATTTCCGACCACCGTAAAGTGGTCGGAAATCGACGATTTTCGGTCGAAAACCCCTGTTCCGATCATTTTGGGTATTCGGAAAAACCTCCGTCGCTAATTTCCGACCACCTCATGTGGTGGTCGGAAATAGCGTCCACTGTTACAATATGGTCGGAAAATTTGGTCAGGGTGAGAAAGTTCTGAGTTTCGTAATTTCCGACCACTGGTGGTCGGAAAATGCCACAATTTTTTAAAAAAGTATTTTCCGACCACTTTTGGTGGTCGGAAAAATACCTAATAAAATTAAAAAAAAAAACATTTAATATCCACAGCTGCTTTTCGTCAATTGCATTTGAACATAAAAGAGCTGCATTTGACATTCACAAGCTGCTTCATCTCTGCATTCTTAAGAAAGTAGACAACTCATTAGACTAATTAAATACAATAACATCTTTCTCTCACAATTCATTATAGAAGAAGCCATCACAATCAAGATAATGCAAGTCATTAAGACTAAAATAAGACATTTTTTCCATTTTACTGAATAATAATATCTTAAATTTACCACATTTTGTCTGTCTTTTTTTTCTTCCATTATAAATCATAAGACTTGTTAACCATAAATTCATTGAGAACAAAATAATTAATGATAAGCCTGAATTTTAACATGCTCAAGAATAGAGATAAGCTCCATTGCAGTAGCTTTGAATTGACATGACAAGACAATGAATTCCTAATCTTGCTCAACTTGCTCCATCTCTGATTAAGAACAGAAAAACACTAGTTACTCACATCTTGATGAAAGTGACAAAAGAGTATTATGAACTAATATTGGTATTATCATTAACATCAAGAGTATAGGATACAAGTAGATAGTAAATATACCCCTAATAAATATGCACAGGTGTAAAATGAAGAAAATAATTGTGTTAGTGCAATCTGTACCCTCCCTCCTATTATTAAGAGTTCATAATCTGTTCTTACACACACACAAAAAAGCAAACTTCAATTCACGATTACATAATATAATTAAAATTGTGCAACAGAAATTTAAGAGTAAAGAAGATATACACATTTAGCTCATGTAGTAATCTATTTTAAGATATCCTAGCACTTCCACTAGTAAACAGGTGACAACTTGGCCAGTAAAACAATCAATGTCTTCGCATTAAACACTGAAGATGTTATATTGGGTGTCCTATTCTCCTAATTGTTTCTACTATCTTAAAAGTAAGTAATACCCCACTGGATTTAATTGATCTACATCAATCATTCTTCTATGCTCTAAAACTAGTTGAACCTAATATTTCACAACTTGGACTAGTTCATTGAAAATCAGTAAATCTAACAAGATTTAGTGAATTACTGAACCTGCAAACAAAGTTGCATGTTTAAAAACTGATAACTTAGGATAGCAATGCATCAAATTTCAAACCTAATTGCTGTTGTAGCCACAGAAATAGCCATCGCCTACGTATATACATAAGGAAACAGCATAAGTTTTACCAGCTTTAGTCAACTCAAGAGAAGTAATTTGTGTTGTGTAATAAGTCCCTCTGGTAATCTCCTGTACACGGAATTTACAAAGTCCTTATAGCAAAACTGTGTAAGTCACTCTCCCACTTGGTCTCTCTACTCCTCTTGAGGGATGCAGAGCTCGAGCAGCAACTCCCCTGTTTGTTAAAATAAGGAAACAGCATAAGCTTTACCAGCTTCATCATGTTTGTTAAAATCTGATATGCTAGCTTCATTTTTCAAGGTACACTCTATAGAATCAGTTCCCATACCTATAACAATTGGATATAATATTGTAATCAAAGAATGAACTAAAGTAACAGATAAACAAGTGAAACCCATAGGAAATCACCTGGAGACAAAGCATGAATGAACTAAAGTAACAGATAAACAAGTGAAACTCATAGGAAATCACCTGGAGACAAAGCATGATCCACAGTACTAGCCTCTGCAGAATCCTAAAAGAGGAGAATCCCAGTCACTCCATTATCTTCTTTCTGCCATAACTCTTGCAATCTTGCCCCACAAATTTAACACTGCTCAATAATAAAATTATTCTAATCTTAGAAACAATAAAATTACACCTATTTGTGTGATTGAAGCAATTTCTCAAATACTTCTCTACGGAATTCTAGGGTTCAATTTCTCAGATACTTCTCTACCAAACTCACAACAAAATATATAACCTAACTTGTTAATAAACACCACCATCTGACCTGGGATAATGATCTAGCAGATCTGTTTCTACACCGGCGACGGGCGATGGTGGCAGATCTGTTTCTCCACCGGCGACGAGCGTGGTGGCAGATCTGTTTCTCTATCCGTTCTTGGCGACGTCGGATGACGGTGACAGAGTCCATTTGATGGTGAGACGGTGAAAATGGTGAAGTTGTGAGACGTGAAAATGGGTTTGAGGAAATGAAGATGGATTTGGGTGAGAGAGATGTCAGATGTGGGAGCTGTTCACACTTGATGGGTTTAGCAGATTTGTTCTACTGGAGGAGGGAGGAGGCAGGAAGGATAAGGGAGAAACCGCGAAACACTACTTGGTGAAATTTTGGGGCGAAAATTTGGATATGGCGCCCATTTTTATTATTATTATTATTATTATTATTATTATTATTATTATTATTATACCCTAGGTAATTTTAAATGTTAATTTAAACAGCTAATTTTTTCAAATATCTTTTTACCCATCGTTGATATAATTCGTTGGTCAAATCCGTTAATATAATCCCCTTACGCTAACTGCTAACTACTGATTGTCAAACAAGGACATTGTGAGATAGTTTCTCACTTCAATTTGTTGTGTGATTTGAATACTCTCTTTGTCAACAAATCCCTCAAGTAGTTAATATGATTGGCTTTATTAATTTAAATTTTTTAAATTTTTTCGTGGTATTAATAAAATACTTGGTAAATAAATATATAGCATTATTTTGTATTATAACTTTGATATTTAATTAAAAAATAGTGCACCAAAAAAAAGATAATAGACAATGTAATGAATATAATCAATTGATGAATTTGAATTAAAGAATTTTTACATTGGAGAAAAATTTATTGATAATAAATAATTTTTTTAATAAAGACATTGTAGGGACAATGTAGCGAATATAATCAATTGATGAATTTGAATTTTGAATGTAAAGAATTTTTACATTGGAGAAAAATAAAGACAATATAAGTAATGAAATTATTTCTCTTATTTAATTTATTGATAATGAATAATTTTTTTGAATAAAGGCATTGTAGACACATAATTCTAAATTAAAGAAATGCATATGTATTATTTTTTGTTGTAGCTACTAAATTATTATTTAATTTAATAAGAGTTAAATAGAGTACTAATTATGCCAATAATTTTGATTGGAATGGAGTTCGAACCTAAGACATTTCTTATTGAAATCAATGAGTAAGTTAACAGTGAATTAACAAAAATTAACGGAAAAGATAATATTTAACGGAAAAGTTAACGGATAATCATATTCATTAAGGATAAATTATGAAATCTTAAGGAAAAATTAAAATCTGATCAATCTGAGTCATTCATTTGATTAAAAAATTTAACCGCCATTTTTTCTACCCATTATATGCCTAACTCTCTTGGGCTCTTATTAGTGTGTGTGTGTATATATATATATATATATATATATATATATATATATATATATATATATATATATATATAAGAGTCCCCCAGGTGAAAGATGGGATGAGACCTGAGCCGTTGATCTAATCTAGATCAACGGCTCAAATCAAGAAAAATTAAATAATAATAAAAACGTGTTTCCTGTCAACATGCATGCAAATGATCAATTGTCTCAAACTGATGCACCTAGAGATATAAAACTATGCACATTAAGTTATAAAACTACGCATATTGAGCTATAAAACAACGAACATTAAGTTTAAACTGATGTACCTTAAATTAGAAAAGTGACGCACCTTAAGCTTTAAACATACGCACCGTAAGCTATAAAACTACGCACATTAAGCTATAAAACAACGCACCTTAAGTTTTAAACTGATGCACATTAAACTAGAAAAGTGACGCACCTTAAGCTTAAAACATAAGCACCTTAAGCTATAAAACAACGTACCTTAAGTTTTAAATTGATGCACTTTAAACTAGAAAAGTGACGGACCTTAAGCTTTAAACATACGCACCTTAAGCTATAAAACTACGCACCTTAACTTATAAAACAACGTTCCTTAAGTTTTAAATTGATGCACCTTAAACTAGAAAAGTGACGCACCTTAATTTTTAAACATATGTACCTTAAGCTATAACACTACGCACTTTAAGTTATAACACTACGCACCTTAACTTTAAAACTTAAGCACCTTATGTTTTAAACTGATGCACTTTAAACTAGCAAGTGACGCACCTTAAGTATTAAACATACGCACCTTAATGTATAAAACTACACACCTTAAGTTTTGAACTTATACAAAATTACCATAATATCATTGCGTTTTTTTTTTTTTTTTAAGTTTTCTTCAATCTGGATTGCTGATTTTAGTTAGATCAAGGGTTGAGATTAAATCTCTATCTTTCACATGCAACCTATTACCGCACTTGATTTCTATTTTATATATATATATATATATATATATATATATATATATATATATATATATATATATATATATATATATATATATGATTTTAATGAAATCGGGTCCACCATAAACCGGGTATAGAAAGTATAGAACGGAATAAAAGAACTATTATCGCCAGTGGAGCCACATAAACGCGCACAAGCCTAGTGTCGCAGACCCAAAAACAATAGTACAGGAAAGTTATACGGTGAAAAGGGAAATAAACGGATAGACAAAAACCTGAATTACATGCATAATACTAGAATCGATCTTTGGGCTAGTTAGGAGGGAGAGAAGACTCAGACCGCCAGGCTACCAGGTCTTTTGTGTTTCTTGCCCTGTCCTAAACTAACCGCAGCCCTCCCTTTTATACCCTCTCAGGACTTCCGCATACCACCCACGGGACTTCCGCATACCACCCACGTGTACGACATCTACAGGCCTCCAGCTCCCACCATACACATGTCCTCCCATCTCCTCACGTACCCCCAACTTCTCGAACAGGATCGATTTTGTCGCGCACTCTCCCGGGATCCCTGCTCCTATACGCCCCGCCCTCCGTCAGCTACCCTTCCGTGCGCAACATGCATGCACTAGCCGCCATTCCACCCACATATATGCATGTACGCAACCGCCACCTTGTACGCATGCAACTGCCATCCATACGCGCAGCCACCACCTTGTATGCATGCAACCGCCATCCGTGCGTGCAGCCGCCACCTTGTACGCATGCAACCGCCACCCGTACGCACAGCCGCCACCTTGTACGCATGCAACCGCCACTCGTACGCGCTCCCGCCACCTTGTACGCATGCAACCGCCACTCGTACGCGCAGCCGCCACCTTGTACGTATGCAACCGTCATCCACACGCGCAGCCACCACATTGTACGCATGCAACCGCCACCCGTGCGCGCAGCCGCCACCTTGTACGCATGCAACCACCTCGCATACATGCGTGCATAATGTTTGCAAGGTCCAAGCGTACATATAGACATGCATGCGAGCCCATGCGTGTGAGCCCCCCTTCTCATCCCTTTGGGCTCACACTCTAATCTACATGGGCCAGGCCCGTTTTCCATCAATATATATATATATATATATATATATATATATATATATATATATATATATATATTGATGAGGAAAACACATAGTTACGATTCAAGGATGTAAATTGAGCCGCCTCTTTTTGGAACTTATAAGAACTACTAGTTTTTTTTACGCGCATTGCGCGATTGGGATAATGCCCAATGTTTTTTTAAATAAGTACTTTAAAGTATATAAATGCAAGATTATATTGGAATTGTTCATGCATAGATAATTGAATGTTGAATTTGCGTATTTAAATAGGTAATTCTAAGTTTACAAATGCAAGATAATATAGTCAAAATTGATTATAATTTTCAATAAAATAATTGTATAGGTATGGTTGAAACCAAATACGTGACATAAGGGAGAGCAAATAAAAATTAGGGCATAAAATATTAAATATATACTAATATTAAAGAGCTAACTGTTGATTGCCAAACAAGGACATTGTGAGGTAGTTTCCCACTTCAATTTGTTGTGCGATTAGAATACTATTTTTGTCCATAAATCCCCCAAGTAGTTAATATGATTGGCTTAATTATATTTTTTATTTTTTTATTTTTCAAAACAATTGTTAGTATTATTATTATTATTGTTATTATTATTATTATTAAATATATGTATACCCTTACATCATTTTACATGTTAATCTAAACAGTTAAATTTTTTAAATATTTGTTTACCAATCGTTGATATAATTCGCTGGTCAAATTCGCTAATATAATCCGCTAACCGCAGATTGTCAAACAAGGACATTGCGAGATAGTTCTCACTTTAATCTGTTGTGTGATTTGAATACTCTCTTTGCCAACAAATCCTTCAAGTAGTTAATATGATTGGCTTTATTAATTATATATTTTTTTTAATTATTTCATGGTATTAATAAAATACTTGGTAAATAAATATATAGCATTATTTTGTATTATAACTTTGATATTTAATTAAAAAAATAGTGCACAATAAAGATAATAGACAATGTAGTGAATATAATCAATTGATGAATTTGAATGTAAAGAATTTTTACATTGGAGAAATATAAAAACAATATAACTAATAAAATTATTTCTCTTAATTAATTTATTGATAATGAATAATTTTTTTTTAATAAAGACATTGTAGAGATAATGCAGCGAATATAATCAATTGATGAATTTGAAGGTAAAGAATAGAGAAAAATAAAGACAATATAACTAATGAAATTATTTCTTATTTAATTTATTGATAATGAATAATTTTTTTGAATACATAAATTGTAGACACATAATTCTAAATTAAAGTAATGCATATGTATTTTTTTTGTTGTTGTTGTTGTAGCTAGTAAATTATTATTTATACCAACTTTGATTGGGATGTGGTTCGAACCTAAGACCTTTCTTATTGGAATCAATGAGTAAGTTAACGGTGAACTAACAGAAATTAATGGAAAAGTTAACGGATAATCATATTCATTAATGATAAATTAAGAAATCTTAAGGAAAAATTAAAATCTGATCAATCTGAGCTATTCATTTGATCAAAAAATTTGACCGCCATTTTTTCTACCCATTATAGGCCAAACTCTCTTGGGCTCTTATTAGTATAGTAGATATTTGATTATGTAGGATTATGTAGGTATGATTCAGTATTACAATACTATATGCTATTAGAATTGGGCCCATATAACAGCTAACAAGCTAAGTCATTAATAGGCCCGTTTTATATGCATATCTCCATTGCGCAAATTATATTGTGGACCAAGGTCCATATTGTATTGTGCATTCAATCCAAAATAATATTTAAAGGAATAAGGTTCAAATTGGCCACTGAACGTAACTTGAAAATGCAATTAGGTCATTGAACGAAAAAAAAGTGCAATTAGGCCACTGAACTCTCCAAACGTATGCAATTTTACAGGATAGCAGGTTACCATCAATTTTAGCAGGTTACCTGCTTACGTGGCAGCTTAGTTAGCATTTTTAATAATTTTTAAATAATTTTTAATAATTAATTTTAATAATAAATTTTATAAAAAAATTGGAAAAAATTAAATAAAAAATAAAATAAAGTCGTTTTTATTTTTTTTAAAAAAATTTTAACAAAAAGTTATTATTAAAATTTATTAAAAATTAAATAAAATTTATTAAAATGCCAACTCAGCTGCCACGTAAGCATATAACCTGCTAAAATTGAGGGTAACCTGCTATCAGGTGAAATTGCACATTTTTGGAGTGTTCAGTGGCCTAATTGCACTTTTTTTTCGTTCAGTGGCCTAATTGCATTTTCAGGTTACCGTTCAGTGGCCAATTTGAACCTTATTCCATATTTAAATTATGTACTTATACTTATGGCAAATTATACCGTGTACCAGGAAATACGATGCATCGTGTGTCCTGACCAAAAACGACGTCGTTTTGACCATATTTTTTTTAGAAATCTTATTTCCCGTTTCTAATGTTAAATTCAAAAAAATAAAAATAAAAAAGAATTCTCTATTTCGAATGTACATAAACTCATAACAGAAAACACATAAACTCATAACAGAATACACATAGTCTAACATAATACATAATACACATAAACTCATAACATAATACACATAGGCCCTGTTTGGTAAAATGGCTGTTAGCTGATAGCTGTTAGTTGTTAGCTGATTGTGTTAATTAGAGGGTATAAATAGTTGATAACATTAGCTGATTGTAGAAAAGTGTTTGATAAATTAGCTGTTAGCTGATAGCTGTTTGGTATAATTTCTTTTTTCAAAAAGCTAATTGAAAAAGTTGCTTGGAGTAACTTTTTGAATTTTAGCCTTTTGGAGTTGCAAAAAGCTAATTAACCAAACATTTATATTGATATTTTAACTAAATCAAACAATTAATAGTGGTCAAATAGGCCAAAATTGGCCTATAGGCCAATTTTTTACCAAACAGGGCCATAATCTAACATAATACATAATACACATAAACTCATAACAGAATACATATAATCTCAGGGCCGGATTTTAGGCTGTGCAAGCTGGGCTACCGCACAGGGCCCCCAATTTTAGAGGGGCCCCAAATTTTATAGGTCCAATATTTAATTTTTACCTAGCTAGTTTAGAAATAAAAATTAAGAGTTTTCAATTAAACTTAAAAGGTTCTATGAAGAGATGGTAAAAATGTGTATTTATTGTATTTTAACTTGGGGTCAAAGGTTCGAAACTTGCATGTATTGATTTTAAAAATTGTGATTTTGGTAGGGCCACATTTATTTACCAGAACAGGGCCACCAAAATTTAAAATACGGCCCTGTATAATCTAGCATAGTACATAATACACATAATCTAACATAGTACATAATACACATATACACATAATCTGAACAATAAAAACAACGTCGTTTTGGTCAGGATGCACAATGCATTATGCGCCTTGGTGCTGTACAATGACTCTATACTTACGGAGTAACATATTATTTGGAGTTGATAACCAAAATGGTCCTTCGACTATGTCATAATTACCAATTTGGACCTCGATTATTATTCTTACTCAATTAAGTTCTCAACTATGCAATATTTACCTAATTTAGTCATCTATTAATTTATCCTTGAGTTGGTGATCAATAATAAGGGCAAAACTGTTATTTTATCACTTTCTTCCATCTCCTTCCTCACACCACATTATACTGTATACACCATATATAATTTCTGAGCACTTGACAAAAAGAGGGAATGACAAAAGAGTGATTAACAAACATATATCGATCTGATCTATATTGGTACTTTCTGGATGTGTGATTGTATTGTCACTGAAGCCATTAAGACTTTGAATTTCATTATCAACCGGACTACAAGCTCCTCTTTTGGAGCGGAGCTTAGAGAGCTTGCCGTCGACAATGAGGGCGTCGGAGTCGGAAGCGCCGGTGGAGAAGTCGCGAGCAGAGAAAAATGAGAGAAGAGACTTCCAGGTTAGCCATGTGTGCACTGTTAACGGGTTGGAGTTGAGAGGCCAGGCTTTGGGCGGCCACATGAGCAAACACACCCAACCACTCCATAATGGTGCGCAACCAAGGCGTTTCCATGTCCAACAACGTGATGGTGGGTGGTGCCAATATATATCCCAAAGCCCTGAAAAAGTGTCACTTGAACAGCTAAAACGGGAAATACTATCTCCCCACCGGCGGTATATTTTGGCTCTCGTAATTTAGCTACGAAAGGGTAAAAATGAGAAATAGAGTCTCCGGAGTGATAGCCCGTGAGTGAATCGAAGTCGCCACCGGACTCCATGAATGTGACAGAAATAGAGTCTCCGGGCACGTTCCGGAGCTTCGGCTTGGCGCTACAATCGGAATGAGAAACCTGCAGGTTGCCGGCGAGGGGGAGAAAGTGTTTGAGAGTTAGGGAGAGGACATATAAATTAATGAAGGACTAAATAATGTAAATATTGCATAGTTGAGGACATAATTGAGTAAGAATACTAAATTGGTAATTATGACATAGTTGAGGGACCATTTTGGTTATTAACTCTATTATTTGCATACAGCTAACCATTATGTACTTGTGATGGTTTTATGGGACATGAGTCCATCATAAACCGGGTAGGAAATGTCTAAAGGTCATTGGTTCGAATTCCCACGTCATCTGATAAAAAAAAGACTATGATCCATGTGTTGCTTGAAGTCCATCAAAAGTAATCAGCTTGCAATTGTAGTACATAAAAATTGAACCCAATTTGTATGTCAATGATCAAAATGTTGTTCAAGCCACCCACATCAAAATTAGAATCATGCTATAATTTTTTGTCCAAATTTATCTGTTAATATTTACATTTTAATGTGATATTATTTAGTTCACTCTTTTTATATTTAATTGCTAAGTATGGAGTAATGTTTTAAAAATTCATGGTGAATTCAGTCAATTTATGAGTAGCAATGAGGATAAATTGTTTTATTAGTAAAATGAATATTACGGAGTAATAGCTTAGGGGGGTTTAATTTAGAGAATTCTAGTTGAGGAGATGCTATGAAGGTCCTACTCCAGAAAGGTCTTCATAGCTTAGGGGGGCTGCTCAAGGGTGATGGTGCCCCAGGTTATTAGCAAGGAAGTCGGCATACTGATTGCCTTCACGGAACACATGATTGAGCTTGATCACCTGGAATTGATTCATGAGGAACCTACAATCTGAGATCAGCGAGTCTGCCTCCGGCTGCTACTCATGTCTTTATCTAAGGCTTGCACCATGGCTAGCTTCTGAATCAGTTACGGCGATGAGTTTATTAATTCATTGAGATCTGGGCAGGCGCAAGCCTTCCCTGAGCCCCCATAATTCCGCGACGAAACTAGTGGCTCTACCTATTTTTGACGTGAAGCCAGCGATCCAGCGCCCTTTGTGATCACGGATGATCCCGCCAGCACTAGCTAACCTTGATGATGCTTTCTTCGCTGCGCTCCGTCCGTATTAAGCTTCATGAAACCTGTTTGGGGAGGGAACCACTGCACCTAGATTTGTCTGGCCAGCAAAGGTCACAAATTCCACAGAATGTATGGGAATTCCATCTTCCAGTTCTCGGCTCCATCTATTGGCTGATTCCATGAGCAGGCGGCTTTCAACCAGCGAGCAATGGGGATCGGAGGTGGTTGCTCCATGCGAAACCAGTAGGGTGTGTCATGGTTTTAGAAGATGGAACTCAATTAATGAAGGATGGAAGTGAGAATGAAGAACAAGAGGAGAGGCAGATTGCAAGGGTTAAGTTCAACCTGGAAGTCAGGGACCAAAACGACAGCGTTTTGGTTCATTCAAATTAAATGGCCACTTATCTAAACGACGGCGTTTGAAAGGGAAGCAGTTGGAGCCGTTGCGGAGAAGCAATCAGACGACGTCGTTTGAAGCATCTGTTGGGAGCAGTTGAAGAAGACTATAACAACGTCGTTTGGGAAGGAATCCAAGCTGGCTGCTCAGCGAGAAACAAGGAAGTTGGTTGGGATTTTGCTGGATTGTTTTAGCTTGTTTTGCTATTTATTTGTAATGTTTTTGCTTTTTGGGAATTATCTTATGCTTTTGGACATTTTTCTCTGAATGAGATAAACCCTAATCTCTCTTCTTTACCTCCATTCTCCTTCCTCTTTACCTCCTTCTTCCCTTTACCCCAAATTCTGTTCTGTGTTTTTAGAGCTAATTTGCAGGTCTGTGACAACTGGTATCAGAGCCCATCATGGTCACCACAACTTCAGCAGCCATGGAGGAAAGAATATCTAGGCTGGAAGCTATGCTCTTGGAGAACAGTAGCAGCCTCACTGAGGCCAGTCAGGAGATGAGAGATAGCAACCAAGAACTTAAGGAGCATATGCAAACCTGGAAGGATGAGATCGTGGAGCTCCTCAGGCTCAATAGACCACCCCCACCCACTGAGCCTTCATCTGTCCATGGCCAAGCTCAGACAACTCAGGACAGCCCAGGAGAAGAAGGATCTGGCCTTGGCAGGAGGCCTGGCAAAGAGCCTGCAGTGGATGGCCACTCTGAGCCACAGGAGCTGACTGATGATGAAGAAGGGCTGGGAGAAAATTAGTTTGGGCCCCACATGCCTCCTTTGAGAGCTGAAAGACCTTGGATGCCAAGGAGAGTGCATTTCAATCCCAGACCTGGACTGAACAACCAACAGGGTGAACAAACAGTGAGGTATAAGCATGAATTTCCTGTTTTTGATTATGATAACCCAAGGTTATGGGTGGTGAGGTGTGAGAGGTTTTTTATGTTAGCTAGGATACCCAGAGATGAAGTGATGCATGTTTTGTGTGTTAACTTAACTGGAAAGGTAGCTATGTGGTATGAAACCTACTTAAACAGTCTAAGAGAAGGGTTCCAATGGACCTTGTTTGCTAGGGCTATTTGCAAAAGATTTTGTGATAATCATGCAGATGTAATGGAGGAATTCTCCAACTTTAAACAATGGGGAAGTGTGGTGGAGTTTTCAGACAAGTATGAGGAGTTTAAGGGACTTCTATTGCAGAGCTATCCCACCTTGACTGATCAATATTTTTTAGATAGCTTTGTGGTGAGGTTGAAATAGCAGCTTAGATGTTTTGTTAGAACTTCTAGGCCTGCAAACTTGGAGGATGCAATATGGCTTGCAAGACAGTTTGAGAAAGGATTGAGAGTGAGTGACCCTTCCAAAAATACCACCATTAACCCCACTAGATCACCCTACAATCCAAGAACCCCTTTCACTAGCCAGAGATCCCAATCTAACCCCAGATCATACTCACCTAAACCAACTGAGCCAAACAGAACCTATACACCACAATCACCAGCTAAAACCACATACTCTAACACCCTGCAATCCAATGCCAGGTCACCTGAGATCACTAGATTCAGGGACTAGTTGAGAGAACAAAACAGATGTTATAGATGCTTTGATCCTTGGAGCCCTGGACATAAGTGCAAGAGCCCTACTTTTAATATTTTAGAAGGGGTTGAAAGTCAAGAAATAGAAGAAGACAGTATGGGGGATCAAATGGAGGAGAAGGAAACTGAGGATATACTTGAGAGTGAGGAGGTGGAAGTGACCCTAAATGCAGTGATAGGAGGAGAAGGCATGAATACTATTAAGTTGCTAGGTTTAATTGGCAAACAGAATGTGGTGGTTTTGGTGGATAGTGGGAGTACCCACAGTTTTGTAGATCCCAAGGTATTGAATCAGTTGGGAATCATTGCTGAGAAGGTTGAGAACCTTAAGGTCACAGTGGCCAATGGTGAGATCATGGAATGTGATTCAATTTGTAAAGGTTTGGAATGGCATGTGCAGAATGAGCAATTCAAAAAGGACTTGAGGGTTTTGAAATTAGGAGGGTGTGACATTGTCCTTGGTATGGACTGGATAGACACATATGCACCCATTCAATTGCACACAAGACCCCTTGGAATTTCTTTCCATAAGGAAGGTAAAAGGATACTGTTGAAGGGTCTGACTAAGAAGATTATGTTGCAGCAGGCTTCTAAAAAAGAGTTGAGGAGATGGAAGAAGGATGGGGTGCAAGGATATCTTCTGCAAGGCATGATTTATGGCCTTAATCCTTCTGAACCTACAGAACAGGAACACCCTGAGCTTACTACTATATTACAAGAATTTCAGGAGGTCTTTGAAGAGCCTACAAACCTTCCCCCTGCAAGACTTTTGGATCATGGCATTCCTTTAATTCCAGGAGCTAAACCAGTGCACTCTAAACCCTATAGATACTCACATCTTTAGAAGAATGCAATTGAAAAGATGGTGGATGAAATGTTGACTGCTGGTATCATTTCCCATAGTACCTCTCCTTTTGCCTCACCAGTTCTATTAGTTCCTAAGAAGGACAACTCATGGAGGTTTTGTGTGGATTACAGGGCTCTGAATGAAATAACCACTAAGAATAAGTTTCCTATTCCACTGATAGAGGACTTATTCTCAGAACTAGCTAATGCAAGAATTTTTACCAAGCTGGACTTAAGATCTGGATATCATCAAGTGAGAATGAAGAGGGGTGATGAATACAAGACTGCTTTTAGAACATACCAGGGCTTATATGAGTTTAATGTTATGCCTTTTGGGCTAACTAATGCACCTGCAACCTTCCAGGCCCTTATGAATTTGGTGTTCAAGCCTTTGATTAGGAAGACAGTGTTGGTCTTCTTTGATGACATCTTGGTTTATAGCCCTTCCTTAGTTAAACACTGGGAACATCTAAGAGAGGTGTTACAGTTAATGAAGGAGAACCAGTTATTGGCCAAGCTCAGTAAGTGTTTCTTTGCCAAGAAAGAGGTTGAGTACTTAGGGCACATTATTTCAGAGAAAGGGTTGCAGACTGATCCAGGAAAACTCTCTGCTGTGTCTGCTTGGCCAAAACCAGTTTCCATTAAGGAGTTAAGGGGTTTCTTGGGACTCACAAGATACTATAGGAGATTCATCAAATCCTATGGTACCATTAGTAGACCCCTCACTGATATGTTGAAGAAGAATGCTTTTAAGTGGAGTTCAGATTCTGAAATGGCTTTTGAACAGCTCAAGAAGGCCCTCTGCTCAGCACCAGTGTTGGCCCTACCTGATTTTACTAAAGACTTTGTTGTGGAGGCTGATGCATGTTACAAAGGAATGGGAGCAGTACTAATGCAGGATGGAAAGCCAATAGCCTATTATAGTAAGGGATTTGGGCCTAAACACCTTGGTTTATCCATCTATGAAAAAGAGTATCTGTCCATTATCAATGCTATTGATAAATGGAGGTCCTATTTGGGTGGTAGACATTTTGTTATTAAAACTGACCACCAGAGTCTCAAATTCTTGTTGGAACAAAAAATCACCACAGCTATGCAACAAAAGGGCCTCACAAAGCTGCTAGGTCTGAGTTATGACATTCAATACAAAAAAGGGACTGAGAACTGTGTTGCAGATGCACTGTCAAGAAGAGGGGAAGAAAAACAGGTTGAATTAGGAGCAATCTCAGTGGCCAGACCACTGTGGAAGGAGGAAATTCTTAAAAGCTATGAAGGGGATGAATGGGCCTCAAGGGTACTGACTGAGCATATGATATTAGCAGAATCTGATTCACAGTTCACTCTTGATGAAGGATTAATTAAGTGTAAAGGCAGGCTGTATGTGGGAAGCAATGGAGATCTGAGAAGTAAGTTAATTGAGCAGATGCATAACTCTCCTTTAGGAGGTCATTCTGGGCAACAGGTTACTTATCACAGGCTAAGTCAGCTTTTTTATTGGCAAGGACTGAAGAAAGAAGTGATTCAAGCAGTCAAAGGTTGTGATGTTTGTTAAAGGTGCAAGGAAGAAAACATAGCTTATCCTGGATTACTACAACCCTTACCTATCCCTGAACAAGCTTGGCAAGGAATATCCATGGACTTTATTGAAGGGTTGCCCAAGTCTCAAGGTAAGGATGTTATTATGGTCATAGTTGACAGGTTCACCAAGTATGCACATTTTATTGGCCTATCACATCCATTCACAGCAGAAGGTATAGCTGATTTGTTCATGGAGAACATCTATAAACTACATGGTTTGCCACAGGATATAGTCAGTGATAGGGACAAGGTGTTTGTGAGCAGGTTCTGGAGGGAGATTTTCAAACAAATGCAAGTGAAGCTCAGTATGTCTTCATCCTATCATCCTCAGTCAGATGGGCAGACTGAAAGGGTAAACAGATGTGTAGAGACATACTTGAGGTGTATGGTTTTCCACAGACCCAAAACTTGGTTGAAATGGCTGCACTTAGCTGAGTATTGGTACAATACCAATTTTCATACCTCCCTCAAATGTTCTCCATTCCAGGCTTTGTATGGTTATAACCCTCCCTACTTAACTTTCCAAGTAATCACAGAAGGAGAACACCAAGATTGGTTTAAAGAAAGGGCTGCTATGATGGCTATCCTCAAAGAAAACCTAGCAAAAGCACAAGCAAGAATGAAGGAGCAAGCTGACAAACATAGATCTGAGAGGACTTTTGAGGTTGGGGACTGGGCATATCTTAAGATTCAGCCTTACAAACAAACTACATTGGCAGTAAGGTCTAATCTTAAGCTGACAGCTAGATTCTATGGTCCATTTGAGATAATTGAGAAGATTGGCCCAGTGGCCTATAGGTTGAGGTTGCCAGGAGAGGCTACAATCCATCCTGTGTTTCATGTGTCTCTCTTAAAGAAGAAGGTGGGAGAGGGTATAGAGCCACAATCAGTACTGCCTTCCACTGATTCTGAGGGAATGATACTTACTCACCCGATAGCTGCATTGCAAAAGAGGTTAATTAAGAAGAATAATGCAGCTGTGGTGGAAATATTGGTGCAGTGGGCAAACTTACCACCAGAAGCTGCTACATGGGAGGATTATCATCACATCACCAAGCAATTTCCCAATTTCGATCCTTGGGGACAAGGATCAGGTGATGGGGAAGGTAATGTCATGGTTTTAGAAGATGGAACTCAATTAATGAAGGATGGAAGTGAGAATGAAGAACAAGAGGAGAGGCAGATTGCAAGGGTTAAGTTCAACCTGGAAGTCAGGGACCAAAACGACAGCGTTTTGGTTCATTCAAATTAAACGGCCACTTATCTAAACGACGGCGTTTGAAGGGAAGCAGTTGGAGCCGTTGCGGAGAAGCAATCAGACGATGTCGTTTGAAGCATCTGTTGGGAGCAGTTGAAGAAGACTATAACGACGTCGTTTGGGAAGGAATCCAAGCTGGTTGCTCAGCGAGAAACAAGGAAGTTGGTTGGGATTTTGCTGGATTGTTTTAGCTTGTTTTGCTATTTATTTGTAATGTTTTTGCTTTTTGGGAATTATCTTATGCTTTTGGACATATTTCTCTGAATGAGATAAACCCTAATCTCTCTTCTTTACCTCCATTCTCCTTCCTCTTTACCTCCTTCTTCCCTTTACCCCAAATTCTGTTCTGTGTTTTTAGAGCTAATTTGCAGGTCTGTGACAGGGTGACTGGGTGAGGATCGTCTCCAGTACTCCTTAGCCACATCGATCGCATCCTCTGAAGAGGCCAGGTGATCCAAGGTCTCTTCTCCATCGCCGCAGCAGGGACACCACGGATCGTTTGTCAGACCCCTCTTCATGTGCTCAGAATTAACGAGGAGACTATTGTTGATAATTCTCCATATGAAGAATGCATGTAATGCGCCAAATCCACTCATAAGAATCTGAGTCATCGAAGAAAAAGACGGTTGGTAGCCAGAATCAATGCTATTCAAAAGGCTGCCAATTATGCCACCTCGACAGAAGAGTTACAAAGCTTAGATAGGCGTCTTGTTAAGGAGCTCAATGATGTGCTGGATTATAGAATCTTAGTTACCAACTCTAACTTATAAGTCTCTTTTCCAAAATCTCTTACAGTAGTCCAATAAACTCTAACTTTGATTTTCCCTTCTTACTAATCTTTATTGTTTCCTTTCAAACGAAACCCTTAGCAATACTGTCTTTCCCACCTTAGCCAACAATATATCCCTTCAAAAACCCTTCGATACAAGGTCTCATTCCTACTTAGGAAAATCTAACGATTGAACTAATCCTTTAGGTTTACTCCCGCCAACCTTAGTATTTCAACAAGAGTAAATACCCAAAATGGTCCCTCGACTATAGCTAAATTCACAAATTGGTCCTTCACTTTCAATTTCAACCAATTAAGTCCTTAATTTTGCAATTTTGACACGATTTGGTCCTCCATCTATTTGACCGTTTGTTGACCGTGATCGACGATCTCCAGAAGAACCTTTAGCTCTCGTCAGAGCACGTGGAGGCCTCCACACTACACCAAATCAGGCATTTAGCGGCGGTTTCAAACCGCCACTAGTATGTTTAGCAGCGGTTATTCAACCGTGTCTAAATAGTGTGTCGCGAAGTATTTAGCAGCGGTTTTCAACAACCTCGGGAATTAATGGAAAACTCATTTAGCGGCGGTTTTGGGAGCATTTAGCGGCGGTTACAAAATCGCCGCTAAATATATTATTTATTTCAAAAAATTTAGCGGCGGTTTTGTAACCGCCACTAAATATATATATTTATTTGAATAAATTTTAGAAAACCGCCGCTATATATATATATATATATATATATATATATATATATATATATATATATATATATATATATTGTTTTTGAATAAATTTTAGTGGCAGTTAGTAAGTGTTGCTAAATATTTTTCTTGATTTATTTTTTAAAATATTAGAGGCGGTTATTAAGTGCCACTAAATAATTTTTTGTTTTCATAATTAAGTGTCGTTAAATGTTTTATAATTACATTATTATATTTTTATAATTATTATTTAATTATATTTCTTCTAAAATCTTTATATTCAAATGCGTATTGCAATCACAAATAAACTCTATGTACCCATTTAATTGAAAAAAATCAATTGTAACTAATATTTATCAAATAATAATATTCAATAGTATTCAAAGAAGTAGCTTCCTCAGCTTAACATTTCTTCCATGGTCTTTAAGTGTAATGCATTTTCATTCCCTGACAGTTCAAAACATTATTCTTCAAATGCAGATACAGGCAGCCTTTGGTGGATAGACCAACATAATCTACAATCTCAGTCCTTGACATCTTTAAAACCTCTTGTCATATTTATGAAGTTCTGCATTCACTTTCTCCTCATCCCACATAAACCCTTGAATGTATGTTCTACAAGGAAGATTAAACATATTCAATAATTTAGGATCTTTAATCCATTAGTAAGTTGTGTAAGAAGTTTGCTGGTGAAAGCAACAGAGGTAATCACCTGAACCCACTCAAAATAGCTGATAGTAACTCCACTGAGTTTGCATAGATGCCTGGTAAAATCACAACTCCTTTCTTTGCTAAAATCTGCAGAATACATTACACTTATCTTCATTTATCAATGGGTTTGAAATTCTTATTACACCTTGATCCTACACTACCCAAACACAAAACCAATGATATAACAGTGGTGAAAACTTAACAGCAAGATTTTTTTTTTTTTTTTGAAAACAGCAAGATTGAATCAATTTCCTGGGTATGCTATCTTAGCAAAGAGGAAGTAAATCGCAAGAAGTGTATCAACTGGCCTACAGACCTCCAAATGCTTAAAGCTACACCTTTAACAAAGCAAACCTCTCAACTTATTTATAAATGCATGTACTTCCAATACATGACACTATTTATCATCAATCACAGATAAACAAACTTGAGAAGGGAAGATTACTCAGAAACAGTTGGAAGACATATATATATATATATATATATATATATATATATATATATATATATATATATATATATATATGATGCAGGCAGACACATACATACATCTTAATATGGATGGTTGGTTAATAAATTAAAGTTGCAATACTACCTCAGGAGCCATCCAGCGAAAGCTTCCAACATCAGCAGAAAAATCACCTTCCAGACCCTCCCTACACAGCCCAAAGTCCCCAAGCTTCACACTCTTCTTGCTTTCTGATAGAAAAATATTATCTGCAATCCAAGAAGATTAATTAGCTTGATGACTAATAAGCAAAATAGCTAGCAGCAAAAGTTAGGCCCGCAGAAAATTACTTACTGGGCTTCAAGTCGCGATGAATGATGCCATTTTCATGCAAATATGCCATTGCGCGAGAGATTTGTAATGCCATAACATCCTTAGACTTTCTATTTCCAGAAATAGACAGATATTAGAGTAATTAGCCTTAATAAACTATTAACCAACCTAGAATGACTGGGTTGGAAGAAAGCAGATTATTTGCATAATCGAGTGAGTTCTTCTACTCTAGCATACCTACACATCAAATAAAAAAAAAATTCAGTTTGAGTTCAGTTGAAGGGTTATTGATCTCAAAGAATAAAACAGAAATGAACAAAAAATAAGAAGAACAAGAGCAAAGCTCTAGGAGAGCAAGCATGTTGACCTGTACTATTTAATCATTATCTGCTCTTTCAATTCCACTATCAACAACAGTGGCTATTTCATCATTTAGTTCTTCTCTTGTTAATTGCAAATTTTCAATCTCATTTAAAACCACAGGATTTTGGTTTTCACTTGAGATTGAAGTACAATCATATCCGCTACTGTCAGCATTTTCACCCATGTCAAAAAGGTCTCTTGGTTTGAAAGGTATTGCAACATTCCAATCTTTCTCCATCTCATTGGTGACATAAAACATCATCTGAGCTTGTTCAGCTAACACATATGGTTCATCATCTATACTATCTCCAACATGTATTGTTCTAGAGAAGTTAACTTCGGTGAAGCCATAATGATCTCTTCTTATCCCTCTTGGAGTAGTCGTCTCTGCCCATATACACTTAAATAGTGTAACCACAAATTTGCTGTAGTAATTGAGTTCAATGATGTCGACCAATTTTCCATAATAAGCAACATCTCCAAAAACCCCATGAGTATCACGACTACTTGCAACACTTGGAGTTCCAGCAATAACAAATACTCCACTATTTTGAGACTTCAGTCCTTCTTCTCGGTTCACTGTTCGAAATCTCAAACCATTAATGTTATATGAAGAAAATCTTCTAGCATGAGTAAGTGGACCTCTTGCTAAAAACATAATGTCATCTGGCACTTGCTCTTGATTGTCAGTATTTAGGATCTAAAACATAATGATATTGTATTAATAAATTAATTTTGAAGTAAAATATTGATTTGAGGTGAAACTCTTACTCTCTTTGCAAAGCAATTGGAAAAATCTCTATTAACTATTTTTTGAATATCAGCAGAAGATCTCGTCCGCCTTCTTAGTCGTCTCTTCGTTAAAACTGTAAATTCCCTGTATGTGATAACAACACATTTGTTACAATTGAAATAATGGCCCTGTTTGGTAAAAAATTGGCCTATAGGCCAATTTTGGCTTATTTGACCACTATTAATTGTTTGATTTAGTTAAAATATCAATATAAATGTTTGGTTAATTAGCTTTTTGCAACTCCAAAAGGCTAAAATTAAAAAAAGCTACTCCAAGCAACTTTTTCAATTAGCTTTTTGAGAAAAGAAATTATACTAAACAGCTATCAGCTAACAGCTAATTTACCAAACACTTTTCTACAATCAGCTAATGTTATCAACTATTTATACCCTCTAATTAACACAATCAGCTAACAGCAAACAACTATCAGCTAACAGCCATTTTACCAAACAGGGCCAATATGTTATTTCTCACAAAAATACAAAATTTTGGATGTTACTTACTCAACGTATTTATCAACATGTTTGCAATTCATTAGCACGTATCGATGTGCTTGTTGTTTCTCTATATTAGTTAGTTGGAAAGTTGAAACACTGCCTACTGGTCGACCAATTTGTTTGAAGATATTGCTTTGAATATTTTCAGCATAAAATGGCACATCATCAACACGCCTAGATCGGTTGAACCTTGTTTCAACCCCTTCTAAATACCTTGAGCAAAATGTAAGACATTCTTCAGCAATATAACCTTCGGCTATAGAACCTTCTAGGTTTGCTCGGTTGCGTACAAAAGACTTTAAATGTCCTAAGTACCTAAATATATAGAAATAAGACATTAGTAGATGCATTTATCGATAATCTAATAAAGAAAACTTTAAATATCCAAAATTTAGTCACCTCTCAATGCTGTACATCCATCGGTATGGAACAGGACCTCCAAGTTTAACCTCATCAACAAGGTGAACAACTAAATGCACCATTACTGTGAAAAATGATGGTGGAAATATCATTTCCATATGGCATAATGTTAGCACAAGTCGACTTTGAAGGTTATCAAGCTCTTTGACATTTAGTACTCTACTACATATTTGTCTGAAAAAAGAACCCAATTTTACCAAAACCATACAAACTTGATCTGGTAATAGATTACGTATGGCAATTGGCAATAGATGTTCCATAAGAATGTGACAATCATGACTTTTCAATCCATGTATCTTGCGATTCTTCAAATCAACACATCTAGAAATATTACTTGAGTAACCATCTGGCAGTAATACACTCTTTAGTGTTGCAAGAAATACATCTTTTTCTATATCTGTCATTGTAAAACAACTTGGAGAGTATTTTCCATTTTCATTAGGCCAAAGGTCATCTCTTATACCCATTGACACTAAATCCATTCGAGCATTTAGATTATCTTTTGATCTTGCAGGGTCATTTAGCAAAGTAAACAACACATTGTCAAAAACATTTTTTTCAATATGCATGACATCAAGGTTGTGGCGCAACAAATTGAATTCCCAATAAGGGAGTTGGAAAAATATACTTCTCTTCTTCCATTGTTGCGTATCACCATCTTCAACTCTTCTCACTCGTGATCTTTTCCCCTTCTTAGTCATTTCTAGGTTTTTCCCAAATGTAATATTGATATCTGCAAGCTGATTCAAAACATCTGAACCTGACAACATCTTTGGCGGACTTCTCAAATCTTTGGTTCCATCAAATTTAGAGTTGTGATGTCTATACCGATGAGAAGACCCTAAGAACCGACGATGACCCATAAAACACCACTTCCTACTATGTGGAAGGCGATTTGGCAAAAAAATCAAAGTTGCATGAGGGGCATGCTAGCCCTGTATGTGTATTCCACCCAGATAAGTTACCTAGCCCAGGAAAATCACTAATGGTCCACATTAGAGCTGCATGTAGTTTAAAAAACTGACCCTGTGAAGCATCAAATGTTTCTATTCCAAAACTCCACAACTCATTTAACTCTTTAATCAATGGTTGCATGTAAATATCTATATCATTCCCTGGCATCTTTTTCCCAGGAATAATCATAGACAAAATAAATGAGGTTTGTTTCATACATATCCATGGAGGCAAATTATAAGGAATTAAAATCACAGGCCAAGTGCTATGTGTAGAACTTTGATGTCCAAATGGATTGAAACCATCCGCAGCTAACCCAAGTCTAACATTTCGTGGGTCAGCAGCAAATTCTACATGGACTTCATTAAATTGCTTCCATGATTCAGAGTCTCTAGGATGTCGCATCAACCCATCTTTGTTACTATCCATAGCATGCCATCTCATATATTCAGCAGTTTTAGAAGACATAAACAACCGTTGCAACCTAGGCTTAAGAGGGAAGTAACGCAACACTTTAGAAGGTTTCTTTTTAAACTTGCTACCACAACGCACATCACCACCATTCTTCCCATTTGGTTGTTTCCATCTTGAAGTATGACATACTTTGCATGTTTCTGCAACTTTATCATCTCCCCAGTATAGCATGCAATCATTTGGACATGCATGAATGCTAACATAATTAAGACTAAGTCTATTGATGGTTTTTTTTGCCTCATAGAAAGAATCAGGAAGCCTTGCTTGTTCAAAAGTATCTTTTAACAATTCAAAAATCATAGACATTGCTTTATTGCTTATTCCACCCAAGCACTTGATGTGGTATAAACTTCAACAAAAATGATAATTTTGAGTACTTGCTACACCCTTCATACAACTCTTGATTTCCATCTTTGAGCAATTCATAAACTATTTTACTGTCTTCACTATCCTCTCTATGTAATACTCCATCCCCAAGTAGTGTTTGTTGTGATGTTGAAGGTTCATTTATACCATGTGAAATATGTGCAAAAGCATCATGAATGATATTTACTTCAGGATTCTCAATTTGCACATTAGTAGGCACAACATTAAGAGTGCTACTAGAAGTGTCTAAAGATCCCCCTTCACCATGCCAAATCCCATTAACATATCCAGGTACAATCCCATCACAATTAAACGTTCTTTCTCGTCAAATTTATATAACCAATACCTAAATTTACACTTCACGCAAGGACACAATATTCTTCCTTCAATACATCTATGCTCAATTGCAAAATCAATTAATTTGTTTACCCCTTCTATATATTCCAAAGTATTTCGCTGCAAATTAACCCAAGATTTATCCATGCATAATCTCTATATGAAGATTTTTCAAACTTTAGTAGTTTATCATACAAGATCTACAAAGAGAAAGAAAGATGAATTGTCATATGTATAGAATGATAAGACCACATAAATATATGCATATAGGGAGAGAAAGCAGAGGATATATAGAAAGATTAATTTTAGGAATGCATCCTGTTTTCTAATGTGAATTGCTTTATATGTTGTGTTGTGTTGTTCCAACATTGAGATGTGGGTGAAAAGATGGAATAACCCTAAAAATAAATTAACTTATTTTTAAGATGGTTAAAGAAAACAGCCGGTAAAATGGTTACTAGCATTTTATCTTATGATTTAAGTTTCGTTGTTAAAATAGCGGCGGTTAGTATAACTGCCATTAAATAAATATTTAATGGTAGTTTTATAGAACCGCCGCTAACTAAACGTAGCTAAATGTTTAGTTTTTTGTAGTGATACTTGCTACACATAGAAACCAGAATTAGGTTAACAATCAGAGGAGAAAGAAAACCATGTATCAAGAAAAATGAAGAACATGCAGAGAGAATTTACTTCAAAGAATCACAAATAATTAAAAGGAACAATTGCTAAAAAATGGACTACTAACTTGAACAAGGCAACAGGTTCATGCTTATATATATACAGATTCATGCTTATATATATACAGAATTTTGATGCCAAAAAGGGAAGGAAACTCACTCAAGAATGTATTCAGGTTCATGCATAAAGTTTTTCAACCCTGCTTCAAACACATTACGTGCCACCTGCAGGAATACACAACAATTATAAAATACACAAAGGGGCCAAAACATAAAAAGAAGCAAAAAAAAGTTTCAAACCTCATTTAAAACTTAGACACACTAGAATTGAGAATTTGAGGAATTAGTTCACCTTAGCATATATCCTTGTTAAGACAGAATTCAACAGTAATAAAAGAACAGATAATCTTACCATATAACCTTAGTCTGTACTCTGTAGAACAAACACAGATAACTAAAAATGAAACAGATAAGAAGATAACTTGAGAAGTGGCAATAAAGATGCAATCTTGGATAACTTTTGTATTCCAAGTCTATAAGCAATAAAAAACATTAATAACCCCAAAGAAGGAATAATTCAACAGTAAGATTAACAACTATAAGTCTTGTTTAAATCACAATGATTTTTTCCATAAAAAAAAAAAAAAAAAAACAAAGGGAATGTAATAATGAAAATTTATGAACCAGAAAACGAAATAAATAGAGAGAATTTCTACAACTAAAATCACAATCAAATATTCAATTGAATCCTTGAGCTTATTAAAATTGTGCAATTAACATATTCAATGTCATTTCTATGACAACCAACTGCAATTTTAGCCTCTGGAAATGCTAGTACAACTCACCATTAATAACAAACACAAATTATTCAAAACACAATCAAACTTCAGCTCAAAAACAATATGACAAACACCTTGAGTGCAATTGCTACAAAAGACTAATCTATGAACAATCCTGAAAACTAGCAGAAGAATTCAAGTTCCAATCAAGAGAATCAATCAAATTGCAAAAAACATTCAAAAAGAAATTCACAATAATCCTCAAAAATTAAAAATAATTGATATAAATTCACAACATTTAGAATAATACAAGCAACATCAAAAACTAAATTCATAAATTCATACAAACACACTGTTTGAGAACAAAATCAGTGAGAAATTCACATGAGTCTACAAACCTTACAATGGACTAATCCCCTTTTTCTGCAGCCATAAGCTTGGTCAGAAGTCTTAACGGACGGCTTTACAGAGGTCGAGCAGTACCCATTTGGTCAGTGGCGGTGGAGACGGAGGTCGTAGGAGATGCCAACTGCCGAACTCAGGGAGTAATGGAGGCTGTAGCGGTGGAGCGATTAACACTTCAACTAATCGCTGCTGCAATGGAGCCGTGCCTCTGTGGAGCACACACTTTAGAGAGACTGGTGGAGACAGGAGACTGGAGCGGTGGTCCGTTGGAGGTCGGAGGAGATGCCGTGGAGCATACGGAGGAGACGTCGTGGAGCAAACAAAGGAGACGCCGACACGGATGTCGCCAGGTCGGAGCAGACAGAGTTGCCGAACGCAGGTGAGGGCTAGGGGTTTCAGATTAGGAATTTTAGATTTTATAAATAATTTGTTGATTTTTAGCTACGATTAAGATCATCTTTGTTAGAATATATACATTTATTTTCGCTGAGTTTTAGTGGCGGTTAAAAGAACTGCCATTAAAATATACATTAAATGAAAAATAAATTAACATTTCTTAAGTTTAAGTACAAAATTAGTGGCGGTTTCTATAACCGCCTCAAAATAGTTATTTAGAGGCGGTTATAAATAACCGCCTCTAACTATATGTCACTAAAAAGCTGATTTGTTGTAATGCGCCAGGATGACGTTGCACCGGTTCGGAAACACGTCGTCTTCTTCGCTCTGGTACGAACTCAACTACATTGAATCCAAATGGATGATGAAGAAAGGCGACCGGATTTGGTAGATTGCTTTCGACAGTAGATTCGAATGTAACAGTGCCGTCTGGAAATGCAACCGGAACCTTAAAAAACCAACTATGGATCATGAAAGTACATATATATCCTCAAAAATCACAGTCAACAAATGGTCAAATAGACAGAGGA